CTTGGTTCTGTCTCGGAGCTGGTGGCTTCCGACTTGGCTGCTTCTGCCCTGCACACCCGCACCCACGGCACCCTGCGCTCAACGCCAGGCAGCCAGGCCTCCCTCTCTCCCTCTGCTGGGGGCTTGGGCTCCAGTCGGGGGCCAGGCGGGGCTGTTCCACCCTGGCACGCGGCACTGGCTTTGGGCTCTGGGGCGTGCACTCCTTCTCACACTGACCACTGTAGGGCGCTCAGAGCCAGCAGGGGCTGGGGAGACCAGGGTCGGGTCCTGGGGACAGCACAGTGGCTGAGGTCCACCAGGTGAGAGCTGGTCAGAGACGCCTGCTCTGGCCACAGGAGGCTCGGGGACGAGTGAGCTGGGCTCGCCCTGTCCCTTTGCAGCAGCCTGTCCGGGCTGAGCTGGCTGCCCTGGGGCTCACTCGCCGCCCCCCATCGTCAGCCTGGGTCTCCTGGGGGCAGGGTGGTGGGAGGGGCTGTCACAGCCGCCTCCCCCTTTCCAGCTGACTCGCCCTCCCCACCGCCCTCAGATGGCTGGCAGGAGGCACACGTTGACCCCAGATGGGGCTCCCACCCCCACCCCCAGTGACGCCACTTGGAGGGTCTCTCTGCTGAGCCGTCGGGGCAGGCCCTGGCTTGGCATGTCCTCTCCCTCCAGGGGATGCCTTCCTATACGAATTCTGGAACCTTCTTTAGAATGTGCCCCTAACAGTGGGGCAGGACGAGGGCTGCTGACCCCAGGCCCCTCTTTCCCTGCCTGCCTTTCAACTTTTCTGAGATGGTCTCATTGAGCCACGCAGGGGCCCCACCGCCACACCCCACTGGGTCCCTCTGCTGGCTGGGTGGCCAGACCATTTCCTAACGAGGGCGGAGGTCTGGGGGCCGCAGCAGCATCATGAAGCCCTGGGAGCCCCATTACAGCTTTGCCTGCCTGGTTCCCGCCGCACAGTTAGCATGGCCTGGGAGAGCCCCACGGGGCTGTCAGAGCCACCTGAAGTGGTTTGAGCGACCACTCCATCACCACCCAGTTCCTTCTGCTGTCCGTCCGTCCGTCGCAGTCCCCTCGGCTCAGTTCCGGGAGGGAGGGAAGACTCAGGACCTCTGCTTCGTTGGGAAGAGGCCCCTCGGAGGGACTCGGTCCCCGGGTCACCATCAGCGTCCAGCCTCACTGCACACCCCCATTCCAGGAGCACCATCAGAACCCTAACCCTAACCCCAGCTGTGCTTTGCGATGGCTTGGTTTGTTCTCGGAGTTACTGTTTTTTCTTCAAGGAGTTTGTTCAGAAAATGATCATGGCTGGTGGTCTAAATCCGAGTGCTTTCAGTGTTGGGTGGTCTCAGGGTTGGAGCTGCCAGACAGCAAGGGTCAGACTCCAGTTTGCAGGGAGCAGGCTACAATGGAGGTGAGAGACACCCCACGAGGCCCATCTGGACAGAGTACAGACACCCTGGATGCCCCGAGCGTGAGCGTGCCGGCTGCCTCTCCTCCTGGTGCCTCTGTGGCTGCTTCCTGGAGCTGCTTCGTGGGGTCGCCTCCTCTGTGCCGGAGCATGTTACAGACGAATTGGGCCCCCCACAAAGATGTGCCAAAGCCCGGCCCCCGGCACCTGTGCAACGCGGCCTTGCTGGGGGACCAGGGGTTTCCTGACGGATGTCGTCAATTAACGGTTCATACAGCAAAAGGATGAGTCGTCATCCCAGCCAAGTGGCGTCTTAAAAAAGGGAGAGCAGACGCGGAGACGGTCACACACAGGGCAGACGGACGCTGGTGGCGATGGGGACAGGTGCGTCCGCAAACAGCTGAGCAGCTCCGGGAGTCGCCGACGGGCTAGGAGGGGCCGGGAACAGCCTCTGGGACCTCGGGGCAACTCTGCCTGCACAGCTGTCAGCCAGTCCCTTTCTGTTCTTCAAGACGCCCCCCGGTGGAACGTTTTCCCAGCTGCCCTGAGACACCAAGACAGAGTGGAACCCATCCAGGCACAGAGGCCCTGTCCTTCCACATACCTGGTCAGGAGCCTCTGGTTGAGGAAACAAGCGATCCCCTCCTGTCTGGTAGGGAGACCCCCCCCAACAGGCTATCTTTGGAAGCCTCCATGGAGGTCCTCTGTCAGCCACGGGCAGACCTGTGTGGGCCCTGGTTATCCGGCGAGGAATGGTGGGATCCGTGGGTCCACCTTGGGGTACACAGCACCGAGACCCTGCAGCAGCCTCCGATGCCGTGTCACCACAACACTAGACCCCTCAGACCCCCACGAGGCCCTCCAAAGGGCCGTCCCCCACCCGGCCTCCCGTGCCGAGCTCTCCCTCATGCCATGGGCTTTCCGTCTCATGGGGGCACCACCGGGAGCATCCACACCCAAGGCCAGTCTTGAGCTGCTGGCGCACCCACGTGCCATGGAGTCTGCAGCCCCCAGTTGTGTCCACCGTGGGGCAGCACAGCACACAGAGGGAGGAGAGGGCAGAGCAGAGACCCTTGTGTGGGAGAGGCTCCTGGGCCCCTAGTCCTGGCTGCTGGTACCAGCAGCTTCCCGTGAGTCGTGTGAGGTGGGTCTGCACAGGGCAGGTCCAGGCAGACGCATCAGGCTGGTCGATGCCTGGCCAGGGTCTCCCCCACCGCTTGGTCTAGACAGACTACCCCCATCTCAAATCCCCTCAGGACCTCCCACTTGGCCTCGGGCGTGGGGAGAACCAGGACCACCAAGATGTGCCCTAGACTCTAGAGCCCCCTCAAGGGGAGCAGGCACGGCATGGCCACCCCAACCCTGCAGAAGGTCACAGGGCAGCCTCAGCTGCATTGAGGGGGACCAGATCCGAAGAGGAGCCGGGGGCCCCATGATGTGAATGTAGCCTTGAACCCTGTGCTGTGATGCTTTCCGCCACGAGAGGTGACGAATCAATCAGCTTTGCAGCATGCCACAGTCATCCGCCTGGCCGTCTCCCCACCTGTCTGCCTCGTAAACGTTCACCACGAAGGTGTTTCAGAAACGAAGTCCCCGAGGATAGAGGGCGATGTCCCCCATCCCCGGGTGCCTCCCCCAGGCACACAGGAAAACAGCGGCCCTGTGGACATTCAGGCTGCATACTGCCAGAGGCAGCCCCGTTGCAGGTAATGGCTCCAGAGTCCGTCCACTTTGCTGGGCATCTGTCGGTGCCGAGTTTGCACGTCACCGTGCTGCCATCATCTCTGGAGCTGCCTTGCACCTCCTGGCATCTGTGCAGGCCTGGCCCCCACGTGTCATCTCGTTGCGTCTCAGCGTCCATCTCACGTGGCCTCTGGCTGAGGAGGGACAGACCCTACAGCGGGCCATGGGTATCCATCCACCAAGTCCACCTGTGTCTATGTGTCTGGACTCTCCGCATGCATGGCCTGCTGCCCTATGCGTCTGCCTGTGTCTGTCTGTCCAGCTTGGGCTCGTGGGGCCACCAAGTGTTGTCCTCCACCACCATGCTCAGCTGCTCCTTGGGGCAGGCAGCCCAATTAACCCATGTGGGCTCCGTGTGGTCACCATCCATCTGCTGCCCCAGCAGGCCCCTCCCCACTATACCCACCCACCCTGAGGGGATGCTGGTGTGAGGGGGGGGTGCCTGCAGTACACAGAGCAGGCAGAGGGACAGCTGTGGGGCTCTGAGCTCCGAGCTGGGCCCACTGGTCTGGCCTGGTGCCCTGTGCAGGGCTGCAGACCAGGGTCTGGGGGGGCTGACCCCGGAGCGCAGCGTGGCCCTCCCGCCCTGACACAATTCTTTCTCTGCAGGAACCCCTTCGCCAATGTCCAGCTGAAGCCCACAGTGACCAACGACAGGTCTGCCCCCCTGCTCAGCTGACGGCCACGCCTTCATCTGCCGCCTGTACCGCCCACCCCTATAGCGTCTGTTACAGTCACACGTGTCCCGGGTGGGGAACATTCTTTCCCACTCCACCCCCACCTGCCCAACATCCCCCACTGTGGGCCGGGCTGGATCCCGGCTCTTCCGGGCAGCTGGCCCCTCTGCTGTGGGGGGCACAGCCGAAAGGGGCTGGACTTCCGGAGCTGGGCCCAGGCCTGTGGGCAGGCTGGCCCCACCGATGTCTGGCACTATCCTGCAGGGGCTGGCCGTGCCTGCTCTTGGCTGCGTTGATGTCAATAAACAGGCTTCCCCTGAATGCCGGATGTCCTCTGGGGACCTGGGAGGAGGGCACCATGCTCGGTTGAACTCTCTCACCCCCTGGCAGGCCCTGCATGAACCCGGGTGAAGCAGAGGGGACCCCTCCTGGGGTCTGCCAGACTTCTGCCCCACTGGCAGACTGGCTTCTGGTCATGCCTCCTGCTCCTGCTGGTGACCGGTGGCCAGGGCCTCTGCTGAATCACAGGTTCCTCACAGCTTTCTCAGGGCCACACTCTTTCTCGTGGGTAATAGAACAGAACAGGGGCCATAGGCCCCCAACCACGTCTGTGGCAGGGGGGTGGGAGTATGCCCACAGAGCCCGCTCCTCACAGGCCCTTCAAGGACGGAGTGGGGAGGACACCAGGTGGCACTGGCCCCTTGCCTCTGCCCTTCCTCCACCCTGCTGGCGGCCTGGCAGTTCTCACATCCTAGGCTGTGGGTGGGGGCTCCCCAAGATGCCCCGAGACAGTGGCCCAGGCCCTCCACGACCCCTAGCCCCACAGCTGCCCTCTGCTGCTCCAGCCAGGGCCACACTGAGGAGAGTGTGTACATGGGGGGGGGGGCAGGACAGGAGGGGCTGGGCCCAGGGTGAGAGCCGACGGGGAGGTGACCCAGGTTCTCTGGGCCCGGGTGTCCCCAAGTAGCTGGTGCATTGCTGCTTCTCTCAGATTCTCAGCCCCCAGAGCCAACCCTCTCTGTTGGCCTCCCAGCCTGTCAGAGCTACTACCTGGCCAGGTGACGGGGAGGGGGAGGCTGAGTAGGATGGCTGGTGGGGTTACTCCTCAAAGCCCAATCCCCCACCTGGGGCTGAGCTGGGCTCAAGAAAAGGAGGCCACTGCTGGGAGCAAGGAGCCACCCTCTTCACTCCACCTGGGCAGGCACAGGCTTCAGAGGAGCCAGGCAGGGCAGGAGGCCTGCGGGGCAGACCCCAGGGCTCACAGGGCTGGGCCACAGGAGGCACAGGGTGGTGGCTCCCTCTCACGGCCCCGCCCTCCCTCCCAGCCACACATCCACACTCAGGAGCTCCTTTGAGCCCCCCAATCAGGGAATGCCCCGGTAGGCCCCACCTATCCCTTCCACCAGGGCTTTGCCCAGACCCCCAGAAACACACAGCATGAAACCTTTCCCTCGTCAGCGTGATTTCTCTTAAAAAAGAAGAAAACCATGGTGCCAGCATCTAAGCCTGAAACTAACAACAAAAACCACAAAGGAAAGAGAGGGCCCGCCCACCCCAGAAGCCACAATAAACTTTATAGGTCTTTGGCAACAATAACTTAAAACCTTCCCCACCCCTGCTCTGCCCACAGCAGTTATAAAAATATGCCCCCGCCGTCCTGCCCAGCCCTCCCAGCAGACCAGTGACCAGTGGCCCACACTGCCGAGGGGCCACCTGCCCAGACCTGCCACAGGCCCCACGGTACAGACGTGGCCCCCATCTGCCTGGCTGTGTGCCAGGGCCCCCCACACCCAGCTCCAGCAGCAGGACCCAGGCAGTGGGCACCCCAGAGCCTGCTGGGGAGGGGAGACAAGGGTGGGGGGCAGGCGAGCTCCGGGGTCCTCCTCTTGTGTGCATGAGGGGTGATGACAACAGACGCCCACACGTGACCTGGTCCCACCCCAGCGAGGTCCAGGGCCCTTGGATTGTCTGGACGGTAGGAGCCAGCCAATAGGCTGTGTGCCCCTGCGTCCCGAGGGCAGGCCCCTGGCCTCAGGTGGGCAGCAGGGAGCTCTTCAGCCGCTCAGCCAGGGCGGAGGGGGTGCACACGTTGGAGCGCACAGATGCCCACGGCCCGAGGTGTGCGGTGTGGGAGGGCAGGAGGGGCAGTAAACCCACGTGTCTGGGACAAGCCTGCCCTGCGCAGTCTGGAGCTGGAGGCGCGCCCCACGCCCGGTCCACAGTCCAAGTCGGCGCTCTGCCGCCTGCGCCTGCGGGCTCAAGGGAACAGAAGCTGCACTTCCGGTCACTCTCCTGGACTCGCTCGACACAGCAGGGGCTCTGACAACGGCAGTCTCCGAGGGGTCTGTCCCCCTGCTGTCAGGCCTCTGTAGGGCCAACCCCAGCACCTCGGGCGGGGCCTGCCAAGCAGAAGGTTACGTCAGGGAGCGTGGCACCTGGAGCTCCTGGGAGACCCAGAGCCCTTCTCCAGCACCCCCCCCACCTTGGCTACAGCAGGCCTGTGTCCCCAGCCCCATGACGCTCAGATGGGGGAACAGAGTGACAGCTGAAAGGGGAGGGGGTGCCCAGGAACACGGTCGCCGTCTAGTAGCAGTGGTGTCACCCGTGGGGGACGCTGGCGGGGAACCTACTCCCTTCCCTACCCCCACCCCGTGCGGAGCAGCCCTGGGCGGCCCCGCCCCTCCCGCAGCTCCTCCCCTCTCCCATTGGCCAAAGCGGAGACCCTCCGCTCCGCCCAGAGGCGGGCCCAGCGCGTGCCGGGGCCTCTAGGGAGGGCCTCAGCCCTGCCCGCCAGGCAGTGTACCGGCTGGGGCGAGTCGGGGGAGGCCTGGGGTCTGCAGCTTCGTGGAGGAAGGGGCGTTGGGGCGGGGGCAGAGAACCCCAAGGAGCGTGTCGGGCACGGGGGGGTGGGGAGACGCGCTCCCCCTGCCAGCTGCGTCCCTGGCCGGCATGCCCACCTGCCGCACCGCGCGGACCCACCTCCCACGGACTCCACATCCGAGTCGGAGACTTGCGTGATGGAGAAGCGGGACCCGGGCGCAGGCGACACCGTGAATCGGGAGAACGGGCCAGCCGAGGCTGGCTTGGGGAGCGCCGACGAGGTGGGCGCTTCTGCCGCCGCTCCCAGCGCCGTCGCCAAGGCCACCTCAGCCGGCGTCAGTGAGAAGCCGTCGTCCCACTCACGCCCACCGCCTGCAAGCCATGCTGTCACTCGCGTCCGAGGCCCCTCGCGCACGCACGCCCCGGCCCACCGCGCCCCGCACGCGCCTCCCCCCAGCCCACCTTCTTCCGCCGCGGTGCCGTCGGGAGTGTGGTCGCTGGCCCGCCGAAGCCGGCCCGGGACGCTAGGGGAGCCTGGGCTGGCCGCCAGGAACGCAGGGGGTGCCTCCTTGGCGCCGGGGAAGGGCTCCCCGAGCTCGCGGGTGGGGCTCTCCTGGAGGGACCAGGGCGCACGTGGCTCAGGCAGCCTCATAGGCGCCTGGGCCCGTCCACTAACCCCAGGGGCCCCAGGGGAGCGGCCCACCTGGTCGAAGAGGTAGACGGTGACGTCGTCGAAGAAGGACACGGCCTTCTTCTTGCGCTCGAGGTCCTCGCAGAAGGCCTCCGACAGGAGGCTGGGCATCTTGAGCAAGCTCCTGAGGTTGCGGGCGCTCTGGCGCTCGGCCACCACCACGGGGACCGGCGGCACCTCCTCCTCGCTCTCCTCGCTGGGCTCCTGGATGCTGTAGCAGCACAGCTCCTCGTCTGACTCGTCACTGTCCTCACTGTCCTCGTCCTCCTCCTCTGGCCGGCCTTCAGGCACCAGGCCCGGCAGGGCCAAGCACAGCGGGGCTCTTGGCATTCCCAGACCTGCTGCCAGCTCCCGGCCTGGTGCCCCCGGGCTGCCGCTCACCTCTGTCCGCTCCGGCAGGGACCCCTTGGGCTCAGGAAGGTCACTCTCCGAGCCTGGTGGGACCGGGGTCAGCAGGAAAGACTTGGAGCGGCCAGGGCTGGGGGAGGGCGGTGCCTCGGCTGGGCCTTGGAGCTCGAGACAGGCACTGGGCTCCGGGGATGACCTCTCCTCGGGCAACGGCGGCAGGGACGCCTCCCTGGGGCCGGGGCCCTGCTCCTCCTCGGGAAGCCCAGGCCTGGGGCAGCTGGGCCCAGACTGGGGTGAGAGGCTCTGTGGGCTCTCCGGTCCCGGCTCCAGTGCAGGGGCACAGACAGCGCAGCTAAGCTTCTCGTCGGCGCCGGTGGGGGGCTCAGGCTCCGTGTCCAGGTCTGAGAAGTAGGCCGAGTCTCGATAGGGGTTCTTCTCGTTCAGGCCGCCACCCAGGGGGGCCTCGGAGGCCAGCTCCCCGAAGGCTTCGGGCTCCCGCACCTCCAGTGCCTCCTTGAACACGAACTCTGGGGACTCATAGTTCTCTGTGTCATAGCCGCTGTCCAGGGCCCGGGGCTGCCCACCAGGGGTGCCAGTGACCGATGGGCTTAGGACTTCACAGCCACCGTCGCTGGCTGAAGATGGGATGTCGAGAGAGTCCAGGGAGTCAGGGGTCCCCACCTGCTTCTGCAGGGAGCGGAAGGCTGGGGCCCCGTCCAGCTTCTCAGGCCGTGGCCCGTCACTGGACAAGTCTGTGAAGTCACCCGAAGTGGCCTCGGTTGTGTCCTCGTCCTCACTCCCCAGCACTTCGGGCTCAGGGGGGCTGCTGCCACTGTCAGGGGTCACTGTCAGTTGGGTGACAGTGGCCCAGTCGCCAGCAGCAGGTGTGGGCAAAGCGGGCAGAGTGGGAGGAGCCTCCTGTGCCGGAAGTGGGGTTCCCTCCTGGGAGGGGGAGGGCACGGAAGGCGGAGGCGGTTGGGGTCCGTGGGAGGCCCCGGCCTCTGCTGCAAGCCTGGGCTCTGCCTCCGGCTTGTTGCCCTCACTCAGGGCTGCCTCGGCCCAGGGAGACGTGATGGTGCCAGGTGCCAGGCCCTCAGCGGAACAGAGATGGGGGAGACTGAGGCAGCGGTCTGGATCCTGATCAGAGGAAGCCGTCTGCGGCCCAAGGAGAGGCTCCCCGAGCTCCTCCTGGGCCAGGAGGCCGCCGGGCTCAGCATGGGCTAGGAGGCTCTGCTCGGCGCCAGGGCAGCCGTCGGCGCAGCCCAGGCCCCACGATGCGTCTGCGCCGCAGCTCCGGCGGCTGTTGTTGTTGGCCGACACGTTGGAGCGCCAGTGTCTGTGCTGGGCGACCCTGCGCGCTTCAGCCTCCCCGGGGTCCTCCCCGCCCGGCGATGGCCGGGCCCCAGAGCTCCCCGAGGGTGAGACGCACAACGGATCCTCGAAGAAGCCCGGGCAGAAGGCGGCCGCGCCCCAGTCTGCCTCCTGGGAGCTGGACTCCGCCAGCATCGGGTCCTGGGGCGACGGCGAGCGCGACGAGTCGGCAGGGACGCGGGCGCAGCCCCTGCGCGGGTAGTAGTCGCACAGGCCCCAGGGGCCGCCGGCGGGGGGCGCACGCCCCAGCAGCGGCTCCATGGCCAGCGAGGCGGCGGCGCTGCCGTCCGAGTCATCGTCGTCGCACGCAGCCAGCGGGCTGCGGACACAGCCTGCGCAGTCGGGGTCGTGGCCAGCGGTGGGCTCCTCCAGACGGATGAAGTACTCGCTGCCCACCGACGGGCTGTGCGCGCTGAGCACCGGCACCACGCCGGGCGGCGCGGCGTCAGGGGCGCACAGCGCCTGTAAGCGCGCGGCGTGGCCCGGGCT